CATCACTCTCAGACGATGAATCTATTAATTCTTGCATTATAAGTGCTACTGCTGTTAATATTGCTTTTTTACGATCTTGTTCCATTTTATTAGCAGAAGCGCGCTACCACGCTATGCTATTGTTGTTCACGGAGCTCGCAAACGCTAACGCTACCAACACACTACCTCGGAAGGAATAGCGTTGATAGCGCGCAGTTATGACGTATCACACTACTATTAATGACGTCATAATTGCGTTTGGTAGCACTACCAGCTAGCTCCGTGAATAGTCGATAGCGCTAAATAGCGCTAATAGCGTTTCCCCGAACGCACCCAAAATGTTTAACAGTTACTAGGATATTGTAAATAAACAAGTTGTTGCTAGGAGATTGTAAACAAGGAGACAGATGTCAGGTTTTCGGGAGCTGCAGAAAAGTGCGGACGCGTTTCTGCTAGCTCAGCGGTGAACGGTTTAAACGGGATTGTTCAGTGTATTACTGTTCAGTGTTTGAGTATTAAAGTTTCTGTTGTGTTCTAAGAAGTGTTCTTTCTTTCGTGCGTGCCGATTTGTGACGTGACGGAAAGACCGTTCGCGGGCGCAACAATATGTATATTTTTTATTTATTATTTTGTCATATCTATTTCATATTTATTTGACTCCTTGTATACGCCTATGTCTTCTCGTACATTATATTGCAGCCTTGCGACGAAATTTCAGTCGAAGAAACAAGCGCAAGCATTGTTTGTTTACAAACTATCCGATCACACGTACACAGACCACACGTCAGTGTAGTGAGTTACCACTACAAACAAATGCGTACACACGGACCTACGCGGCGTAGGCTACGCCGATAATGTCATTTCATTTTTAGTACCATCGAAATGATGGCGCTTTCGCGTCGGAGTTCGGCTGCCACTCCAGCATCCCCTTAATTTCTAAGTTTTTAATTCGGAAAGTAACGTACGTCCATACTCTTTCAGAGATTTGTTACGACCCGCCGTCGTGGTCTTGCGACGGCGTTTTTATACTTGTTAGGATTTAGATAGAGGGGATGTCTTAGCAACAGCCCTGGTTCTTCAAAATTGCAATTATTTGTAATTTTGAAGGTCTTTTTGACCGGACTCTGCTGTCTTCCCTGCACGATTCTCCAATAATTCGTACAAGCTGGAAATGTACCAACAATGAGTCATCAGCGCTTTTATCTTTCGAATCCCTTAATAAGAGGCTCCGAAAGAATATTATATTTTATTTAATAACTTTGATTTGGTTTTTTGGACCCACAACAATACATTCTATCTATAAAAAATATGCTATCAGAAAATGGCGCCAAGTAAAAATAAAAAATTATACATATTATTACTACAAAAAGAAATTATTTTATATTTCCTACAAAATATACATTAAATAAAAACTAACGCCAATTTAAAAAAATATACAATAAACTAATTTAAAAGAAAATTTAAATTTAAAGTTATTATAATTTCAATATTATATTTATTATAATTTTAATATAATGTTATAATTTAAATTTAAAGAGAAAGAGAATGAGGCTACGCGTTCAATGCGCTTCTTTCTCTCCTACTCTACCGTAACATTCAAGTCTCAT